CTTAAGGGTGAAACGGGGGGTAACTTTGGAAAGTCAAATGGAATGACCCGATTTTTTTCACAGAGTTTGGTAGTACATAAAAAATTCAATTTATCAACAGATGGCGCTGTAATTCAAAATTTAAGAAAAAGGGGTTTCCTTGTAAAATGTATTATTTGAAACGTTTGAAAAACAAAAATTAACATTAAATCAAACAATTGAACAACAATTTATATCAAATGTTCGAAATGTCGTCCTTCCATTTCGACACCAAGTGGAGCGCCAGCGTCCCTGGTCGGTAAACGTTTGGTGCGGTACCTTAAGCGAACGATTAATCGGACCCTTCTTTATTAACGGTGCATTAAATGGCGAAAAGTACCGGAATTTTCTAGAAAACGATCTGACGGACCTTTTGGAGGATGTACCACTAGCACGGCTCCAAAACATGTGGTACCAGCAAGATGGTTGTCCTGCACATTATTCGACAATTGCTCGAGAGGTGTTGGATAGGGAGTTCAATGGCCGGTGCACCGCGGTGGATCGGTAGACGTGGTCCAGTAATTTGACCTGCTCGATAACCTGATCTTACGCCACCAGACTTCTTCCAGTGGGGTTACTTGAAAGAAAAAGTTTACGCTGCAATTCCTACAACTTGGGAGGACATGGTGGAGCGGATCAGGAACGCCTGTGCGGCGATACCGCCCGACATGTTGGCGCGTTGTGTGCCAGAATTGATTACCCGCATTCAAAAATGTGTTGAAATGGAATGACGACATTTCGAACATTTGTTATAAATTGTTTTCATAGCCGACTATTGTTGTTAATGTTAATTTTTGTTTTTCAAACGTTTCAAATAATACATTTTACAAGGAAACTCATTTTTCTTAAATTTTGAATTACAGCGCCATCTGTTGATAAATTGAAAAAAGTTTTAAATAAAAGTTATTTATTTTTTTATGTACTACCAAACTCTGTGAAAAAAATCGGGTCATTCCATTTGACTTTCCAAAGTTACCCCCCGTTTCACCCTTAAGGAGGGGTAGGGGGTGGCTAGCGGTAGCACCAAATAATGTCCCCTTTAGTCACATTAACCTTTTATTTAAGACATTTTTCCGTGAAATGCGCATTTCTCGAGATATTGAGCTGTCTCAAGTTAAAAGAAACACCCTGTATATTATTAGTATTATTAAATGCGATTTCGGATAAAATTTAAGATGCACCTCGGTATTAAAGTCATTTTTATCACTCACGTGGGTATTTGCCTCGGCTCTCGCCTCGGCAAATAATTTCCACATTCGTGATAAAAAATACGACTTTACTGCCTTGATACATAAATAACTATTTTCTATTTAACATTCGTTTCTTCACAATGGTTCTATAAATATCACTAATTTGCCGAGGCAAATAACCACGTGAGTGATAAAAATGACTTTAATACCGAGGTGCATCTTAAATTTTATCCGAAATCGCATTTAATAATACTAATAATTTATATTGATGTTCAAATCAAATGTCACTTGATGATAAAATCAAATGTCATTTGAATGTAGGAAGTGTCTACGTATACTGTTTGTTGCGACGGTTATGACATATTTACCCGCCGAGGCGATTTGTTAATTTAATTAATAAAATTAACTTTAAAAAAAATTATTTTTACACAGAGAAAAAAGATTATTAGAATTAAATAAATTTTATGTATATCAAATAAATTATTTATTTCGATATACCCAAATAAATGTTCTTTTGAATGTAAAAAAATATTCATTTGTTGTAATTTATTTAATTTAAAATTAATTTATTCAACGCAAACAAATATTATTAGTTTGTATGAAATAAAACCAAGTAACAAACATGTATTTTTTTAAATTAAAAAAATGTTTTTATTTACGTAAAACAGATAATTTATTTCATTTAAAATTAATTTATTTAACTTAAATACCTATAATATTTGTGTTTTGTAAATAATTTATTTGGATTAAGAGATTTTTTTTTTAATTAATAAATTTAAATTTAAATTTAAGAAGAATTAATTAATTTAATTTAGATTTATTTATTTAAACTAAATAATTATTATATTTGAATTAATAAAAATTATTTATTCAGATTAAAAGATATATATTTTTAATTAATAATGTTTTTTTTTCATCTAATCTAGTAATTAATATATATTGGTATATTGGGGAGTAAAAATAAATTAAATTTTTTATGAATAAACACTAATCTTTATTGCATAAAAGTCTTATAAAAACATATAGGAAACCCTAAAATATACAAATACTTCACTAACTAAAAAATACTTATGTTAATTTTAACTTAATGTTATTGTGTGCTGCATAAATCCACCAGGGTCCGCAAATAACAATGATAAATTCCAAGTAATTATTTAAATTACTTACCTTTTAAAACAGGAATAAATTTCTCAAGACCCCATTCCTTTAAAAGGTCCTCCATAGTATAAAATAATATAAAATTATTTATTATTTTATGATAATGCCACACAACACTTCTCATCAACACCCTGCTCTTAATTGGAGACTCTAAAATCACGTACATACAAAATGGAAAGCCCATTGGGTGTCTGTACGTCACCTGAGTATTGGTTTGTGCTATCTCCATTTTTTACCATTTTGAGGTTTATGCATTTTCGGAAAGTTGAAGTTGGTTTGTTCCATCTCCATAATAGTATTTTGATATAATTGTGTCAGTTTTTAGTTTAGGTTAGTCTAAATCCGAGTTTAGTATAAAAGGTTTAAAATTGGTGTACTCTATCTCCAAAATTTCGCTTACAGGCTTTCTTTTGCTCTATGTGTTTGTAAAAATCTGAAAATAATTAGTATTTGTTTGTGCTATATCCATATGGAAAAATATTGTATAACTGTTTTGTGCTATCTTCAAGGAAAGCTTTCTTATAAATATAAAATTGTTTTCTTCTATATCCACTTTAGCCAGTACACGTTTTTTCACCTATTTACATGTATATGACATTGTATTTTGACAATAATTATAATTATTATTATTAAACTAAATCATTATTAAATAAAGTGTTTTTAATTCAGTTTTGTTACATGTCCTAAAACTTTGTTATATGTCCAACATTTTGTTTCTAAAATCCAAAAATAGCACTTTTTGTTTTATCTCCAAAACGTTTTTTTCAATATTGAGGCATAAATCCAAATTTGAGATAAGAGTTGCTCAATAGAACTAATTAAGGGCTAAACAAGAATATTGTTATTAATGTTTAATTAAGTTTTCATTAAAAAACAAATAAGATATTTAATGTAAAAGTTTCAAACCCGTTTATCTCGATTATAACATATTGGACATAGAACAAATCAATACTCAGGTGACGTGTAGTCGCCTGATTTACAACAACCAATAGGATGCAAGTCTACTTCTACTTCTACTTCTACTTCGACGTGAGCAAAAAAGTTTAAATAAACCTCTGCTTTAAATCAAATTACAATTTTTTTGTATTTAAATAATAATTTGTTTAAATTAAATAATAATTTGTTTAATTTAAATAATTAATTTTTTTGAATTAAATCAAAATTATATTTTAAAATTAAACCATGTTTTTAAAAAAATATTTGTTGTTTAATTTAAACTTTTTAATTTTTTAAAACAAGTAAATTGTTTTTATAATTTAAGAAAGTCAACTTTTATTTAAACAGAATAAGTTCAATTTTGAAATAAAAGTCAGGTACTTTGTTTTAAATATATATTTTAATAAATTTGCTGTTTCCTTTTAAATAAAGACAATTATTCTTTTTAAAGAAATGTTTTTGAATTAAATTTATATTTTTTTAAATGTAATAAATAAAATTAAACAAACATTCTTGTTTGAATTAAAACATCTTTTTTCTCTGTGTATTAAACAACATTTTATGAAAGGGTCCAATCGACCTCCGCAACGGTGCTTTTTTTAATATTATTTAGTTGCTGCTGAGGAGCAGTAGACACATCTTAAAATGTATACTCGTATTAAATCGTCAGTAAAGTTCTACTTTACTGCCGATTTCTTTTACTTTACTGCCGATTGTTGACTACTTTACTGCCGATTTCCGATAAAATATGCTATTTAAAACTTTTAAATTAAAAGTATACTTATAAGATGGCTTGCTTAATCACCTGCTATAAAAGGTTAAGCCTATTTGTTTTTTTTTTTAATAACTCTATTCTCTAATACATATTTTTTTCTTCAATTTATTCTTTATTTAATCGTAAAAAGGTTGCTGTTTCAACATTGTTGGGTAAAAAAGGAAATTTTTAGTGATACCATAAATATAAAACTATAAAACTTTATATTAGTACCTACCTATTTATAAATATGTTTATATTTATCAAGGAAAAAAACACTTTTAAAAGAGAGGAGGGAGTTCTTTAAAACGATCATAAACCAAAAAGTGATTAAAAATATTTTGTTTGTTTAGATTAAAACCTAGTTTTTATTTTTTTGTTTTAATTAAATAAATTTATTAAAAACCATTTTTACTCAGGTCAATTTATTAATTTTGGACCAAAAAGCATAAATTAAATATCATGATGTTGATGTATATCCGATATTATCGAAGCCTTGAAACATCGACATTTATCTGCATTTTCAACCAATTTGTCATTTTTTTCGCTTATTGGATTTTAAGTTACCACCATCTTTTTTTTCTATAGCCGCCATATTAGAATTGTAATCTGCAGATTGTTATCGTTGATTAAAGACACTTTTTAATCAACGCTAGTATCGTTAAGTGAGGATAATCAATGATATATTTGCCTGATAAAATTAAAACGTATAGTCTAACAATAAGGTATGAATGCGAATACAAAAAAATAGTAGCCTTTTATTAACTTAATATGATTTGTATTTAAACATAATATGAATTATATCGGATCTCATTTATCAAATTTAACGATATTTTCGGAACTTGCTATGATTGTTTTTATAATAATTGTTTTGACATGGAATTTCTTGGTGAAACTTTTTGATGAAAATTTATCTTGTAATATTTAATATCGTATAAGTTAATTTATAAATTCAATTTTCTTTGTATCTAAATAATTAAACAAAAGTTCACCAATAAAAGAAATAACTGCAATAAATGTTCCAAAAAAAAGGTAGTAAAAAGCAAACTTGAATTTATCAAAATTCACATACTCGCTTTCTACCTGTTCTTCGGTGGAGGTTTTCTGTGGTTTGCATTCGTTGTTGTATTGTCTTTTCCAAAATTGGATTAATCCTGAATCATAGATCCTTATTATAACGTCGTTGATTCTGTTTCGCAAGGGGAAATCTTTTCTCATTAACATGGTGATGGGAAATGCAACGAAATATTTGGGAAAACAATGAAAAAGAGGCTTTTTATTCTTGTCAATGTAACAATTTTTAATCGTATCTATGTATACCTTTGATATACACATGACAGAGTCTTTTTCCTTGATGACTCGTTTTAGACAACTTGGAATATTTTTGCAATTATTCCAATGTTCTTTAATGTATTCAGATTGCGGCGAGTCGTCGGCAAAATATCTTTTTTGTGGAAGGAGAAACTGTAATTTTAGCTTTAAATCGATTATATCCTGAAATGATTGAATTTGAGGAATGCAGTTTGGTTTGGCTAGCTGACTGATCATATTTGTATTTTAAATAATGTTAAAGTTAACACAGAAAATAAGCCAAAATACCATCAATAACCTAACATCGGTTTTCGGTAATTTACCCATGGTGTTTATGACCATGGAAAAATTTATCAATAGAACATTATAAATGTTCTTAAAGATCATCGATTCATCCTCACATCTTTTGGAAACGTAATACAGCACAAAGGAGAATGAAAAATACGCCACAATTATTATAATCCAAGATTGGTAATCAAAAATAATGATAATTTTATCCCAATCAGATTTACAAAAAGGTGGTACGCAGTATGTCAAGTAGTCATAGAAGTACGGCATCCCTATGTCCATATAATTCACCCTGTTCTTCTCATAACCCAAAGCAGCTACAGCTATATCCGACTTGCCTTCCTGCATGTGTTGAAAAATTCCAGTAACGGTACCATTTTCCAATATGGCGCCCCAGTTCAAAGGCGTACTGGACAAACTGTAAGATAACTTCATATTCAGTTTATCCGCCAGGGTGTTTAATAAACTAACCTCAATACCTTTAGGCCCGTCAGTGGAGTTAATAATAAAAGGTTGCCAAAAAATGGTCCTAACCTTAAAAGTGCACGCGAACAAATCAAACATGCTTTGGTCGAATACATCGACAGATTTTTTTAAACCGTCTTTTTCGCATTTGTTAATTATTTGTATTTCGTTGAAGTTATTACCGCAATTTGTTTTTGAATAAGGGTACCACGCGTATACATTGGCGGTTTCATTTGTAATTTTTTGTAGGACTATACTTTTGTAAATATTGTATTTCCACAGTACTTTAAAAATATTCTTTATCAATTTCACATTTCTTTTAAGTAAAACAATGACAAATTTTCCTCTGGAGTTCCATATTAACAGCATCTTTAACTTCCTCAAATAAAAATCCAGCTGATCAACATCGTTTATGTTCACAATAAAAAAGTTTTTGATATTCTGGGAACTTATGTAATATTTACCGGTGTGTACATTTTGCATGTACGGCCAGTAGTACCTAAAATTCCGACTCTTTATCAAATTTTGCATTATATCGAAATTAGAGTTCTCGTTTATATTTATTATGGTCTCGTCATCCTCCTTAAATGTCATTACGACATTTTTTAAACATAACTCAAATGATTCGTCAATGTTTTCCAAATCTGGTCTTATTTTACCATTAACTAATAAAACTTTTAACAGCAGCACCCCAATCAAAATCATTTTTATAAATGTGAACTATACTATACAGTCAAGAATATATACTTAACCAAGTGCCTACTTAAATATATTAAAGAACAATATTTTCACATCTAGTAGGTAACATGTTTATATACTTATACAAACATTACTCCAAAAGAAAATCACATTAAATTCCTTATTGTTGTAAATTGTTGCTATGTCATTTTTAATATGATTTTATGCCCATGAATTATTAAAATTAATTAAATAATTTTAATGCATAATGAGTTTTTTTAAGTTAAAATTATTTTTTTAATAATTATAATTATTATCACCCATAATATAACAAGTGGTATGATTATAATTATAATATCATTATAATTATAATCATAATTATTAATTATAATTATAATTATCATCGATGATATTTTCGAATTGAAACCGAGCTGCAGATTTCACGAGTCCGCATCATACCACGAGTTATATTTAGTGAGAAAATATAATGAATTTTGTTTTTTTTTCGAATTGTCAGTTTGACATTTGAAATTAAAATGTGCTTTAAAATATAAAAATACCTTATTTATTCAAATTTCCCTTAATTTTATTATCGTTTACACCAACCCGTCGATCTTTTAGAGTTTATAATTCATTATTTAAAACATTTAACAAACACAGTATTTAAATGTCAACAAATGTCAAATCAAGAAAAGTGTGAAAATCCTTGGCAACGTGTAAACAAGGTGATAAAAAATATTGTCGCTGTGATAAAATGCGTAACTATGGAATACTGGCATTTTATTGGTTCTAATTTTAATGAATTGTATTGTCAACAAAATAATTTTAACTTAAAAAAATCTCATTATGCATTAAATTAAGTGTGATAATGCAATTTGCTACAAATGTTAATTATTTTTTTATAATTTAATTTAATTATTTTTTAATTTTAATTTAATTATTTTTTTATAATTTAAATAGTTTTAATAATTACTATTTTAATTAATACAAGCCCTGTACATATTTTTAACTTTAAATATAGAAAATAATACATTACAAAAATTGTTATTTCTACGACCACTATGTAATTTTAATTTAATTATTTTTTTATAATTTAAATAATTTTAATAATTACTATTTTAATTAATACAAGCCCTGTACATATTTTTAACTTTAAATATAGAAAATAATACATTACAAAAATTGTTTTTTCTACGACCACTATAGTGTAATATGTAAGAGTCACATTTCGTAATGGCATCGTTGCTTGGAAAATGAATATTTTCATTGTCAAGGCAAAACACGAATGTAAAGTGACATTTCTGTGTGAAAAGTGACAGGTCTGTGTGAAAAGAAATTGACAGCATCGTTTGACATTCGTTTCAAAATTTGTATTGTATTTGTATATGTACCTATGTCTAAATATTCATCATATATATGATTTAGAACATACCCAGCTAGCACAAGTCTGTCCTAAGGACGTCCTATATATTTTATTTTAATTCTGTATACATATACCTATATAATTTTACACAGCCAATTATATAAAATAAAAAATAAACACCTATTATAAAAGTAAAATAAATAATAATTCTATATACCTATATAATTTTACACAGCCAATTATATAAAATAAAAAATAAACACCTATTATAAAAGTAAAATAAATAATAATTCTAAATAAATATAATAGTTATATTATTTATATATACACAGTGTCCAAAGCTCACCATTATAACTCCATTATTATTGCAGATACAAAGTCGGTTAAATTAGCAAATTAGTGGCATTTTTTCTTCTGATTAAAATGGTTAAGACAGAATAACAATTGAACATTAGGTTTCTGAAGTAATTACAAAAATAACATATTATTAAATGAAAAGACAACTTAATATGGAACAAAAAATTATTATAGCATAACTACCCTAAACTTAAAAATTAATTAATAAGCACTGGAACTTTCTGATTGTTGATGAACACTATAATAATATTATATTATAACAAACACACTTGGAGAACACGAGATTCACGACACAGAAAGTTCCTGAGGACGTCCATAGGTTGACCTTATCGGACATTAGATCTTTTTTAGGACCCATTTTGGGATATCCTAGGAACGTCATTTAAGGATGTCGTTAGGACCTAATAATATCCTAATTAAAGCCTAAAATGGGCTGATCATAGGACTAATCCCAGAGACATCATATACATAAATGTAGAAATTAGTTTTTTCCAGTGGCGGCTCGTGGGTGTACAGGAGGGTGAGGCTACATAAGGTTAATTTTGTCTAAATACGAATAAATTTCCACGTCACCCGGGAGGTATTATTCTGCGACGCGTTGACCTTTTTTAAAGTGGAGCCGATAGCACTACTAAACCAAAAAATAAACTCTAAAAATCAAAACAAACAAAATATCACATCAAAGACTAGTTTCAATCTTAAACTTAAAATATAGTCTTAAAAAAGTTAAAAATAAATAAATTAATCAAAAAATAAAAATAAAACTAAAAAGTCGACCCCTATCTTTTAAGATTGAAAATTTATCTATTATTTGGTCGTAAAATTGTGGGTCTGCAGTGAGATTTAAAAGTAATTCTAAATTTTCAAACCGCGTCTCTAATTGAAGAATTATGCAATCTATTATTTCAAAATATAAAATTTGCTTAATAAAAACTGCTAAATCTACCTTAGTGTGTTCCCTACAATAATTAAATAAGAAATTTTACTAATCGAGACAAAAACTATAAAAGATCAGCCAAAAGTTTTAAATAATTTAATCTGAATCAAAACAATAACGTGCTCTACAAACGCTAAGAGAAGACTGGCAACCTTCTTTGTCTCCGCTGGCATCCCACCATAAACGGACCACCAATCAGAACAAACCAAGCTAACTAAATTTCGCCTCATCTACGGTGTTTATTCGCGAACTCATGATATCACCTTTATAATCTGTGGATATCATGTCGCGAACTTACGGCGATATTTTTGTTGGTGAGTCATTTTCGCTTTCAAGAGGTAAATGGGAGCTTCCGAGGCTGTGAAAATTTCGCCTCTGTCCAAGCGACTCTCAACGATGCACGTTAATTTGACGCGCTTTGCGCCTGGATTTTTATTTACGCTTAGTATGATTGATTGGTTTTTTACTTTTTATTGGTTAGAACTGTTGTAAAAATACACTTGTAATAGGCAAAAATATAAATACAAAAAGTCGTTCGTTTCTTCATTTTAAGGGTGAGGCGCGGCCTCAGAGGCCTACCCTGACGAGCCGCCACTGGTTTTTTCCCTATAGGACCCCATAGGTTTTAATAAAATTTTGTCAAATGTTCTATAGGGATATCCCTATATATCCTTCATTGAGTTATTTTCTATCGGTCTCAATAGGGAAAATGTAAAAGTTATGGTGTGCCTAATTTCCTATATATAATTTAATTTTAATTTCCTATATATAGGATGTATACATTTTCTATCGGGCTGTATCCGGAAAAAACCATGGACAAATGCACATATTGAATCCGGTAGCGCCCGATAGATTATTTTGTATAGGTCTCTATGGGGTATTTTAAGCAGGGATCCCATACAATAGGCAAAATGGCTCTTAAATCGTGAGAATTAATTAACTAACAGCTCTTTTAAGAAAATCCCAAACATTTTCGTTCGGATTAAGATCAGGTGATCTTGCTGGTAGTCTTAAATGATTAATTTCATTAGCTTCGATTTGATCAAGAACAATTCTGGCTCTATGTGGTCGAGCATTGTCATCCAAAAATATGAAATTGGGTTTTAAATTGTTTCTGTAGTCCTCAACAATGCCATTTATGATGTCATTTCGATATATCTGACCATTCATAGTACCATCGCATAAATACAGCTCCGTTCGACCACCAAAAAAAATTCCATCCCAAACCATGACACCGCCACCTCCATACGGATGAACTTCTTGAACCCGACCTGGTTGAACTCGTCCTCCAGGTTCTCTCCAAACTCGCACTCGTCTCGAATCACTATGAAGGCATACTCTCGACTCGTCTGTAAACATAACACTGTTCCATTCAGCATTCCATCCTATTCTTTCACACCAAGCTAAGCGATTTCGGCGATGTTGAATGTTAAGAGGTACAGAGCGCCCTCAAATTTACACTATGTAGGCGATTTATAATCGTTCTGTAGGTAATCCGAACTCCGCTAGCTCTTCTTAAATCATCAGCAATCCTCGAAGCCGATCTGTTTACATTTCTACGAGCCGTGATGCCAATGAAGCGATCTTGTCTTCTGGTGGTCCACTGCGAGCCCTTTCAGAAACGTCGCCTGTATTCCGATATCGACTATACAGTCTACTAATGACACTTTGAGATACACCTAGTGCATTTCCAACAGCCACTTGGTTCATACCAGCCTGCATTATGCCAATAGCCCTATTAGCATTTGCGATAGACAAGTGCACTCGTTCCATGTTGACAAACTACTAAAACGCTCCAATCAACAGGCCCGTTTCTGGGGTGTCTGGCGCCTGCGTGCAGCATTCGTTGGTGCGCCCCTTTTATATTTAAATATAATATATTAAATATTTAAATTTTAAGACGTAAAATTTAAAAAAATATATATTTTGCGACTGGCAATATGTAATTGAAAATGTAAAAAAACCGCTTAAATTAAGTATAAAAAATATTTATTAAATTACCAAACAAACAAGTAATATCATAAGGGCATCTATTTTTTCGAAAAAAATCGAAAAAACACGTTGCCAAGTAATATTTTAACAAGAAAAATAAGTGCTGGTGGCAACAAAAATCCGAGTCGAAGACGAGGATTTTTGCACCTGCACGAATGCATTTTGTTAAAAAATATTACTTAGCATTGTGTTTTAACGATTTTTTTCATAGGAAAAGTTAGATGCCCGAATGGTATTTAACAAGACTATTTCATGAGTAACAGTTAACAATTAAAATATAAATTGCAATTTTTGGTGACAACAGCTGTCAAGTTTTGCAGCGGGTAAACTCGAAAAAACTGCTGACAGGTGCTGTCATACAGTTTTTCCCCCTACAAACGATTTGTAGTTCAAAATTGCGCGTTTGTGATTGGTGGGAATTAAGACGAGGGAAATAGTCAGTGATAAAAATACTCTAAAGAAAAAAAACAATATAATAACTACAACTGGTTTTTAGTGACGTACTCTCTAAAAATGACTAGTTTTCAAAGTAAAAAAGCAGTCACTAATAACTTTAGTCCACAGCTATTTGTATCCCGGGCATTTAACAGCTTATTATTATGTAAAATTATCCCCTGAATCCGAAAATACCGTCAAAAATTATAAAAGTAAAGCAGTTTTTAAGATATAGTCAATTCCATATTATATGGAAAATTTACTAAATCGTGACCTTGGAATGACAAGGTTCTAAGTGCAGTTGCGCCGTTAAGCAAAAATGACTTATCTAGAATATTAATTATTGCAGGAAAGGCATTTTTGCTTAACGGGGCAGCTGCACTTAGAACCTTGTCATTCCAAGGTCACGAAATCTCAAAAACGTTCTACTTTTATAACTTTTGACGACATTTTCGGATTCAGCGGACAATTTTACATATGAGTTGACTGCTAAATATCCCGGATACAAATTACTATTGACAATAATTATTAGTCGCTGCTTTTTTGCTGTTGCAATTAGACCAATTAAATGAGTCATTTTTGACTAATTCTATTTTAGAGAGTTACTAAGTAGTACTATTAAACTTTGCTACCGTCAACTGCAACTATCAAACAAATACTAATATGACCATTTCTCTCCTTTTATTTTGATCATATCAAAACAAAATAAGCAGCCAATATCAAGTGGCAAAGGGCGCTTTATAGCGACCGAAAAAAAGAGCGGCCTACGCAAAAAAGGCAGAAACCTTTATCCAATGTATGTTTAAGTATCATATGCAAGAAAGTTTATCGTTACAAAGTACTGATTGACTCTTTGATTTTGCGCCCCCGAAATTTTGCGCCTGCGTGCGTGCACGCACTGCACGCTCGCCAGGAACGGGCCTGCCAATCAACATTAAAACATATGATAATTACTTATTTCAAAAATAAAAACTTAAAACAAAAAAAAAACATAAAAACGTCCCATCGGCAACTGGTAAATTTCAAACCAAACAAAACAATAAATTCCATTTTTTTAGTGTATTGAATTATACAGTGATGTACAATATTGGTGGGTTCTTTGCTCAAAGAAAAATCTAGCATACGTTTATAATTTATTAATATCCCTAACTTTTTTCCATGTGTTTATAATAAAAGGGTCGTAGAAAAAACATTGTGTTTCACTTGTGAGAAAAGCTTTCTTCAAGCTCGTGTAAATGCAGTGTATTGAATTATACAGTGATGTACAATATTGGTGGGTTCTTTGCTCGAAGAAAAATCTAGCATAAGTTTATAATTTAATAATATCCCCAACTTTTTTCCATGTGTTTATAATAAAAGGGTCGTAGAAAAAACATTGTGTTTCACTTGTGAGAAAAGCTTTCTTCAAGCTCGTGTAAATGCACACTCGGCCTGACGGCCTCGTGAGAAACACTCGCATGAAAAAGTCGCTTTTTAACACTTGTACAACAAATAACTATTGTTTATAGTATACTTTTTATACGACAAATACTTTCTAAAAATGATTTAAATTAAATATTTGTATAGGGCGACATCTATAAAAAAATAAAGTAACTCGCGTGACAATTTCTAACTTGGGAATCTGTATGACCGACGGGCCAGTCAAAATGTCAAATATATTTGTGTCTAAATCAAAATTTATCCTTTGAAAATATCATCATTTAAACAGTTGTTAACAACTGTTTAAATGATGATATAGAAGCAGTTTTTCAGAGTGAAAGTGATGAGAATGTTTTATGGGCACTTCACGCTGGAGCCTCCACCCAAAATTTTTAATGCTTTCAGTTAAATCTAGTTTACTGCCAGCAAAATTAAAAGGTCATTACAAACTTGCATATTTATATAGTTTATAAACTTTTCAAATAGGTATTGGCGTTGAGAAAATAGTTTAAAATAGCTATTTTATACTTTTTATTTTTGTATTAAGATAATAAAATAATTTCCACATTATTATTTTACAAGAGGGCCACTTTATTTTAACGATTGTATTCACCAAATTTCAGGCCGATGGTCACTTTGGATTTTTTTTAATCTAACTTTAAATATCACATTTTTCTTATGCACCGTCGCCACCAGAAAAGAGTTCAAAGTCAACATTTTGCTTAATTTTTTTTTAGATAAGACGTTTTTTATCAAAAATCCCAGAGGGAGGATCCCGCAAAGTTGGGGTTAAGCGTTTCTCATGAGCCTTAAACGATTCAATTTTTAAAAATTAAACTACAAAATTGAAAAGCACAAACCGAATATTGAATATAGGCAACATTAATTACACACTTTTTTGCATAACCTTATCTGACGTAAACATAACCTTTGAAACCTCCACCTAAATTTTGTAATTTCCTAAACATGTGCAAGTAATCATTACTTAGTAATGTCAGTTTTTGAAAATGTACAACAATGGTGCAAATAGAAGAATGCAACATTTATTTAGGATTTTAAATAACGCAACGCCCAGTATTATATGCAATAACTTAAGAAATTATGTTTCAAAGGATACTGTTGCTATTGGTAACATAATCAAAGAAGTTACCGAAGCAAAAAGACCAGAATATGTCCCTAAATGTTACAGTAAGTCTGTAGAAATTGTAAATCTCACCTAACAAATTATTTTTAAGATAAAAACGAACTTTCACAAAGTACGTTGCATCATTTAAGATGGATGATGCAAAAGGATTTATTGGGCCAAGATATATTTTTACTTGGGCCTCCAGGCCCAAGAAAAAGAGTGCTTGCAATGCAGTATTTAGAGTTAACTAATCAAGAACATGAATATGTAGCCTTAAGTCGAGACACAACAGAGTCAGATTTAAAGCAACGACGAGAAATAGTAGCAGGGACTGCCAAGTATTTTGACCAAGTAAGTAAATTTAATAAACATATAATTGGGCAAATAAGTCCACTGCCTACAAAGAACAGATTAAAACAAATTTTTCCACAAGAATGAGTAAAATCAGTGAAATGATTGAAAAGTCTAATATTTTAATAATTATTAACAGTACCTATAAAAACAAATTTGTACTAAACTATATCCATAAGCTTAATTGTTCGTAAGAAGTATCAACTTTTAAATGTAATTTTAAATTTAAAATCAGTAAATAATCAGGCGATCACAGGATTAGCCAGAAAAATAATTTATAATTATTGGAATATAAAAACTACTTATGACAAATTACTTTAATAAATCATTTTTAAACTTCTTTCTATATTTAATTACAGAGAAATGACTGCCATAGGACTGATTTATATTCAAAAATTTATATGCTTGCAGGGCCGTTTTTGGCACGCACGCAGGCGTAACATTTTGGGGGCGCAAAGTCGAAGGGTCAATCAGTACTTTGTAACGATTAACATTCTTGCAAATAAACAAATACTTAAACATACATAGGATTAATAATAATAATACTTAATAATAATTTTAATGCCATAAGATCATTACAATGATATCGACAACGTTAAGAGGTTACACTAAATTTATAATATACCTACACACTGCGCGTCAAAATTAACGCATAAAAAGTAAAAAAAATCCAACTCTATTTTTTGAAGTAAATAAAAAATATGCTGTGAAAGACCGTATTTTTTTTAGTATACCCTGAAAATGTTGTACAAATCAAACAAACAGTAACGAAAATACAACGCTTCAAAGTCGTCAAGAATGACCACTTTTCAGCAAAATAATCTAAAAAGGTCATTTTTACCGACTTTGAAGCGCTGTATCTTCGTTTGATTTGTACAAAATGTTTAGGGTATACTAACAAAATACAGTCTTTAGCATATTTTTTATTTACTTAAAAAAAATTCCCTAAAAGTTATTTTTTGAACGTTTTTTTATTATTAAATAAAGGGGCTTTAAAAATATTTTCTCGAAAGACCCTCGAACATGTAAACTGAGATATAAGTTGAAATATACAAAATTTCATAAAGATTGTTAAAGGCGTTTTAGAATTAGAATTTTTTTACTTATTATGTTGTAAAAAGTTCTTGAGTACTTACAATAAAAACCAACACAAATAATAATAATAATAATCAACACAACACTAGGAAGGCTACGTATTTAGCCCTAGAATGGCAGCTTAAAGCTGCAACAGCAACATATACTCCTCTTGAAAAAGTCAAAAAAGTCTAAAATGGATAAAATTCGCCGGGTTTAAAATTATTAAAAATACGACAATCATTATTAAAAGCAGTAAAGAAGAGCCGAATGTTACCGTACCGCTAATGGGGTACATTTAATTTAATGAAGGACTTAATAAAAAGTAGATATACCTAGAGATGTAAAAAAACGGTTTTTTTCAGATGTGAAAAAAAACCTAAAAAAACGGTTTTTTTTGTTTTTTTTCCAAATGAAATTTTGAGTAAAATTTATATTAATTATAAAGTGAAATGTAGAATATATTACATTTTTCATTATTGAAAATTTTGACCGAGGACTAAAAAATCTGATTTCTTATTATTTGGTAGTTTCCACATTAGAAACCAATAGCAATGTAAAACTTCTACACTAATACAAAAATTAAAGGATACAATTTTTTTTTGCGGATACCTGTAGGTATCTGTTTAAAAAATGGTCGTAAAAAAAGCAATTTGAAGCTTGAAGTTTCTAGTTTTAAGATTTTTAGATGAAAAATGTGCAACGCTCAATCCTAACGAATACCGTAATAAAAAAATTCGATTTTTTTGGCTTTCTGGTCCACGGAATGTTCTGACCTAACCACCAATGAATAAATGTTCTACAAGAATTTGCTATTGTTTAAAAAAAAAAATGCCATACTCTACATGAATTTGAAAAATCATGAAAAAAGTGCTTTTGGTAGCTTTTTAAAAAATCAAGCGCTGAATCAAAAATATTATAGGTAGTTACTTTTTTTAGGACCCTATCAAAACAACCGCGGCCCTTATTGGTCAATTCGGTGGTGGTGGCGCGTGCATATCGCGAGACTGTATTTACATTTACTAATTGTGATTTAGTGGCTAATTTTAGTCCATGAACTGGATTGGAAACATAAAAAATTAGGCAAATGGGACTAATCTTGAAAAAAAACCTAAAATGTGAAAAAAAACCATTTGAAAAAAACAATGAAAAAAAACCTGAAAAAAAAAACAAAAAAACGGACCGTTTTTTTTCAAGTCGCATCTCTAGATATACCCATAACAATTTTTTAATTATTTGTTTAAATTACTAAGAGAACAAATTAAAGATATTTTTGCCGCATCCTTTAGATAATATTTATCAAAATTAATTGATTAGGTACCTACTTTTTATTATCCACAGATCCAGTCTTATCACACTTGAGACCTGTCAGAGCAAAGTCAACAATCTCCCGTCAGACTAAAACTGAGTAAATTGAGATAATTGATTTAGGTATTTTAAATTCTAAATTTGTAATTTTTTTTTATATATTATATTGAAATATTGTTGTTGTTAGTCTAGTAGCCAACTACAAGGTCTCCAGGAGGCATAGTATAGGTGAAATCTATAATTATAAATTGGATATTGCTTACTTTGATATGAGTTGCTGGAGATTGCTTATTTTGTTGTAAACGTTTAAGGAGAAAAATAAACAAAAAAATAATTGTATTTTTCTCCCTTTAATGGTTATAAAATTTAACTATACAATCAATGTGGAAAAATTCTGAACTGGACCACATAAATCTGGAGTTTGTTCTAAATCTGGGACCAGGTTGCCTCCTGCAAAAAATATTATATTTTTATAGTACAACTCATCATCTCCTTCCCACTTTGCCCCGTAATGTTTTACTTGCAATGTCTAACATTATCAGCCTTTTCTTGCTTTACTTTTTCGTCTTATTATGGTATAATCAGGGCCGGATTAAGAGTTTTGAGGCCCTGGGACCGACTTTTGGTGGGGGCCCTCAATATTTCTAAAAATGTTGACACTTGGGAAATTAAAACTCATGGTTAATTTTAAAGCTAGAGGAACTTTACGTGATTTTTTATTATCTTTGAATCATTTATTATTTAATAAACCATATAAATTTTAATAAAATCGGCCACACCGTTTTTAAGCTATAAATAAAAAACGAAACACCCTGTATGTCGATAATGAAGCATTTTCGGACACGTATTTATAGGAACTTTTTTTCATATTTTAATGAGAGGAATTTCCCCTGAGCTTTTGTCACCAAAAGTCTGAATTACCCTGTATATTTTGAATAATACGAACAATATTTGTCTGTTTTTCATACAAAATCAAACAATAAAACAATCTTTTGTCCAAAGAAAACAACGAAACAGTATTTCGGAAAATATTCCACAACACTCAATGTACCAATAAAAATCTGGGATAAAGACTGTTTGCCTAAAGTGACCATTCGTCCCGGATTTTGCGGGACAGTCCCGGATTTTATTAACATGTCCCGCAAGAGTAAACGTCCCGATAATGTCCCGAATTTTGCGGTTAATCACTATAGTGACATATGTCTTTTTACGAGAATAATTTCTTACACAAAATAACAAATTTGTAAAACTTATAATTACCACAAAATAAAAAAAAAGTTTCGGCTGCTCACAAGTAAAAAAATACTGAAGAAAAATTGCCTCAATTGACTAAAAAAGTTTCCATTGACAAAAGATGGGTTGAGATTTTTCAATATTTTCTGGTCCAAAATGTTCCCTTACATAATATTAAAAGAATTGTAGAATTATGCATGCCTACCAGATGGTTCCTAGGAACTAATGCTCCCACCGAACGGGTATTTTCTGGAATAAATATAATGTGGACTTCATAGAAAACACCTTTGTCCACGGAATCATTGAAATGTATGCATTTTGTAAAATATAATTTAGAGTACTTCTTGTGAAGAATTTTATAATTCTGTAAAAAATTATGACAGAAAATTTGTTTGAAAAGGAGTAATTTTCAAGTATATATTTTTATATATAAAATTATAAAATTCTGCATGATGAAATGATATGAATATTATATTATTTAAATGATGATTGATGTAAACGATTTTTTGTTTTCTTGACCTTCCCCTCCCATCGCCTTCTTATCGACAAAATGCGCCTGCCACTGACTTTTCCGCTTTTGGCAGATTTTTTTTGGCTTTGTCCCAGATTTTGACATTTTTGATGTGGTCACTTTATGTTTGCCTGCAAACGTTACGACAAGCACTAAAGAAGCAACTGCTTAAAATTGTCATGAGTCATAACTTACGACTATAGACTATATAAAAACGTCTTCGCGCGCCAAAAAACGTCTTCGCGCGCCAAAACTTTGAGTGTGATAATTTACATTCTGATTTTCAAGCGAATAAGCGATAAAAAATCCGCGAAAAATTAGAGTTAGATCTACGAAAAATTAATTGAAAATTATACAGGATTCGCGCGGTATAACCGACCCAATTTTTTGTTTTTTTCGTCAATTTTTTTTATACTTGTTTCATTAAAAAGATACATATTGCATTGGTGGGGGCCCCTAAATGGTGGGGGCCCTGGGGCCGTGGCCCCGCTGGCCCCGTCCTAAATCCGGCTCTGGGTATAATAGCACAAAATAAACAAGATAACTTTTTTTATAATTCTTAAAACAATAAAACGTAGATTTACCTATTATGAATATATTTTTTAAGTGCAATTTACTGCAATAGAACTTAACAGTATGTACCAGTAAAAAAACACAAAATTAAATCTCTAAAATACGTTATAACACAAATGTCAGGATATCAGGTGACAAAAATTACTAATTTCTAATGGTGGAATTGGAGATTGTATACTTTGCTGCAAATCTATATCAGTGGAGATTGTCGACTTTGCACAAAATGTCATTTTTAAAATAGGATTTTAGGCAGGATTTAGCCCCTTTTGCAGCACATAAACTTTATCATCTTATAGATAATTAGTTGAAGTATAGTCTATGCCAAAAATCTAATTTTTGACCAAAAGTGGAGATTGTCGGTTTTGCTATGACAGGCCTCACTTATAATAATAGCAATAATTGCTAAAGAATAATATGTTAAAAAAACAAGATAAACCTTAACCAGAATTATTTAAAAGTTTTGAAGTTTTCCTTGGTTTACTTTATCGTTTTTATATTGTCCTACAATAGTTACAGGTCACTTCAACAGGGCTTATAATTTATTCGCGTTCTTAAAAAGAGTTCGTATGTGTTGTTTCTAAATATGCAATAAAAAATTTGCATGTCCCAACGGTATTATAATTTGGTGTTTTTTTTTAATTTTAGAGTGCTGTTAAGGCAGCCACCGAAGGTAGAATTTTAATTCTTGAAGGAATTGAAAAAGCGGAGAGAAATGTGTTACCAGTTTTAAATAATTTACTTGAAAATAGGGAGATGCATTTAGAAGATGGCAGACTTTTGATTCCAGCATCACGGTATGATCGGTTGTTGGATGTATGTATTAAAAGACCTTTTCATTATAAATTTCAAAAAAATGTCTGAACTTAAAGACGTTTCATAAAGTTGTTTTTTAATCAACAAACCTATTTTTTATTTTGAAATTTGCTGGAAACAATATTATATTAACTTTGACTCGCGAAAAATGTTTACAAGTAATTTTATTTGATTTTTATTTAAATGTATGGTGTTTTTATTTTTGGAAAAATATTTTGTAACTCCGGTTATTCTAAGGCTATTGTTACCTGGAAAATTTCAAATAAAAATGGAATATTTAAAAAAAAACAAAATATTAAAAACAACTTAAAATTTTATATTCCTAGGAGTATGGAGAAGAAGAACTACTAAAATGGAATTTAGTGAGGGTTAATGAAAATTTTAGAGTTATTGCACTGGGTTTGCCTGTGCCGAGGTAAATTAAGAGATTTATTAAATTTATATATTTTAAATTTATATATTTTTTAAATATTCTTTTTTATTTTTAGATATAGAGGAAATCCTTTGGATCCACCATTGAGATCCAGATTTCAAGCAAGAGATGTCAACATAAATAGCTATCAGGTAAGTAAAAATTACAATTTTTAAAATCCTGTTTTTATGTTTTAAAATATTTTAATCATTTGTTGGTTACCTATTATAATAAAATATAATTATATTATTATTATTATATATTTATTTTTAAATCACTATTAAAGTTGAAATGGACTAGGGTGGTTCTTATTTGACCGATGTCGAAATTTTAATCGTGTCGCCCCCTCATTTGTTTTAAAAAATATAAAAAAATGTATGCCAAATTTGAATGTCCTAACTTATTTCCTTCTATTGCCTGTAACAACAAGAAGTTTTCCAGATAAAGGATTTTTTTAAATTACTATTAATCTATGAAAAAGTATAATTTTTTGAGAAAATGTAAAGTACTTAAGTTACTTTTAAACAAAAAAAAAAAGAAATCATGTATTTGTATCCTAAGGTCTTTTTTACTTCGCTCGATTATTACTGACAGTTTTTTATATAGGGGATTTTTGCTTTAAAACGCAATAATTTTATAAAATCATTAATAATTAATGAACAATTCTAATTTTTTGAGGAAATGAAGGGAAAATATGGTACTTTTAAAGAAAAAAAAAGAATTCATATATGGTCTTTTTTACTTCGCTCAATTATTACTATTATTGTTATTTTATTGAAAATGGCATAAAAAACAAAATATCAGTGATAATTTGCATTTAATGCATAATTAGTGTGCTTTGAAACGTAATTTTGTACTTTTCTAATGTTGGTGCTACCTAAATATCTTTTAGGCAAACTTTAATTATTTGTTTTATAAAACAAATAATTTAAGATTACCTAAAAGATATTTAGAAAAGTACAAAATTACAATTATGTAAATAATAAAATTGATTTTTAGATTGTTTTCGAACAATTTATTTTTAAAGCGTCGGGAAATGCTTTTCAACAAATTGTTTCTGGTCTTCATTGTGTGTTATGATGGAGTTATACTCGTCAAATAAATGCACAGCTCTTTCGGCAGCATCGTTAACGAGTCTCAGCTGAGTTACAGTTTTTAAAGTGTTTTGATGATTTTCAAAAAAGTCCATCGCTAAAAGAATCTTCTTGCTGGTGTAACACCAGTTGTGTTATAATATATTATTGTACAGCTTGTGTCAGAGTTTCGAAAAGCAAAAAAAGACTGTTGTAAACAATTTTTAAAATACCAAAAACCTAATTATCTGAGTTTTATTTTGTTTATTTTTTTGCCGTTTTAACTATGTTACTTTCTTTAAAAATAAATTGTTCGAAAACAATCTAAAAATCAATTTCTTTATTTACATAATTGTAATTTTGTATTTTTATAATGTTGGTGCTTCCTAAATATCTTTTAGGCAATCTTAAATTATTTGTTTTATGAAACAGATAATTTAAGATTGCCTAAAAGATATTTAGGTAGCACCAACATTAGAAAAGTACAAAATTACGTTTCAAAAAACATTTATTATGCATTAAATGCAAATTATCACTGATATTTTGTTTTTTATGCCATTTTCAATAAAATATCAATAATAGTAATAATTAAATGAAGTAAAAAATACCTTACTATAGACATACATAAATTCTTTTTTTTTGTTTAAAACGACTATATTTTCCCTTCATTTCCTCAAAAAATTAGAAATGTTCATTAATTATTAATGATTTTTTCTACTCCCACCTTTAAAACGCCCTTTATCGTACATGTTTCCATGACACTAAGTGACCTTTTAAATATTCATTGACAAGTTGTGGCTTTACGGCGCTTTAGTCACGGGCTGAAGTTAGCAACAGGTTTTTAGTCACGGGCTGAAGTTAGTTTTAAGTTAGTTGACAGTTGTCAAATGTCATAATAATAATAATAAATTTATTGTCATCAAAAGTATTACATGACATGTCAAAAAATCACAAATATATAATAAACAGGTAAGTAAGAAACAATACAATAATACAATAAACAAGTAAGTAAAAAGAAAGAAAAAAAAAAATTTCAGGCCAATTACTTAATTAAAAAACAAACAAGAAATCATTTACATTGTATAGGCACATATTGACTAGCATATCCTTAACAGTCTTCAAATTTATCACAGTTGTATAGTTTTATTTGTTCAGGTAGACGATTGTACAGTTTTGACCCCCAGTAGTCCACATATTTTTGGGTTCCATTAAGTCTATGATAGGGAGTTTGGAAATTATTTTTGTTTCTTGTATTGTAGCTATGATACTCTCCATTTGTTAAAAACACATTCTTATTTACATGCACATACTTTAAAATACATAAAACAAATAGACTGTGGACAGTAAGTATCTTTTCCTTAATGAAATGCGGTTTGCAGCTTTCAGTACTACTGAGAGAGCACAACGTTCTTATGGCTTTTTTTTTGAGTTTAAAAATCCTATCGCAGTCCCTTGAGGTTCCCCAGAGTAAGATACCATAGATTATTTGGCTGTGGAAGCTTGCAAAATATGTTATTCTTACACACTGGTGAGTAGCACTTATTTTCATTCTTCTAATAGCATATATTGCAGAGCTGAGTTTGTTGGCTAGATTTTCAATTTGTTTGGCCCAGTTCAGTCTATTGTCAACCCATAAACCAAGAAACTTTATTGACTTGTAAGAAACTTCAGTTTTATTGGAAAATTCAAGGTACTGTGTTTTCTCTTTATTAAGTTTTAGTTTATTCGTATTAAACCATTCTTGCATATTGTTCAGGATAGTTTCAGTTTTCTTACTGATAATTTATTTCGTTAATCCGGTTACTAACAATGAAGTGTCATCTGCATATAGACAAGCATTTGTAGCCTTTATACAAGAGGTTATATCATTGGTGTAAATGATAAACAATACAGGACCCAGCACTGATCCTTGTGGTATTCCTGTGTTTATGTTTGAACACGACGAATATTTCTCCTTCCATTTTACCATTTGTGTTCTATTGTTAAGGTATGACTGAAGTAATTCATAAGGTGGTCCTCTGATACCATAAAAGTAGAGCTTTTCTAAAAGTATTCTGTGATCAACACTGTCAAATGCTTTACTTAAGTCACAGCAAATAATCGTTAAAATAAAGTGTCTTTCTTGTAAAATAATACTAAATGTGAAAATTATTTTATTATCTCCACACAAAAATACAAAAATATTAAATAGTTTCTCAACGCCAATATTTGAAAAGTTTATATGAACATTGTACTAACCTTTTAATTTCGCCGGCAATAAACTATAACTTTAATGCGGGCACGAACTCTACTGTAAAGTCCTCATAAAACATTTCCTTTACTTTCACTGTGAAAATCTGTCAATTTTCAAGATATATTTCGATTTATAACCTTTATAATTGTGTTTAAAAAATGTAAAAATGTGACATTTGACAGTTTCCCCTGTTGTTTCATAGATGGCGCTCTATACAAATTTTTGATTTAAATCATTTTAAGATAATAATAAGTATTTGTCGTAGAAAAAGTATAGTATGCACCTCGTTTATAAACTTTTCTATACATTCATTAACTTAAGCACTCGCTCGCAAGCTCGCTCGTGCCTAAATTAAATTCGTGTATAAAATGGCGTTTATCAAACTTGATACATAATATACTATTATAAAATTATTGCGTTTTAAAGCAAAAATCCCCTATATGAAAAACTGTAAGTAATAATCAAGCGAAGTAAAAAAGACCTTAGGGTACAAATACATGATTTCTTTTTCTTTTGTTTTAAAATAACTTATATCCTTTACATTTTCTCAAAAAATTATACTTTTTCATAGATTAATAGTAATTTTAAAAAATTAATACGTTAAAGGCAAAAATCCTCTATCTAGAAAACTTCTCGTTGTTACAGGCAATAGAAGGAAATAAGTTAGGACATTCAAATTTAGCATACATTTTTTTAATATTTTTTAAAAACAAATGAGGGGGCGGCACGATTAAAATTTTGACATCGGTCAAATAATCCCTATTCACAGTGTGCCCCAATGATATTTAAGTTAAACAAAAATGTCACAGAAAACTGAGAGTGAGGTTTGATTCTTGGTTATATTTGTTATTTAAAACTATATGAAACAAAATCAGAGCTGATCCTTTTATTAAAATTTTTTAGTTTTTTGTATTTCTTCCTTTTACTTTTTTTTACCTTGTTATGTGTTAAATATGGGCATCCATTTTATTTTTTTCTATATCTGTTTTTATTGTATAACTTAAAGGTAAGTAAATAAAGTTATTATAATTATTGTGAAAATGTTTAAAAATAAATTCAGTACCGTTTTTTAGACGACTGTAAATTAAAATAATTAGAATACATTTACGCTCGGCTAAGACGCACAAAACCAAACCAATATTAATTTTAATAACCATATTCACCAGCTCTTCTGCATCTTCCCAAATTGCCGGTCTTTTTTCTTTTCTGCCATGGTCAATCTCAAATTCATAAGTTCTGCTTTGGTAAATAGACTGCAAAATTTGTGATTTTTCTTTAACGCTATTTCTGTAGTTTTTAGGCACTGATTTTTTTCCGGCATTGGACCTCAAAAAGTTGGTCAAAATTTTTTTTTATTGGCAATGTTTCTATTTTTTTATATTTTCACGTGCCTGAGTGTAGTTGCAAATGTGCCTTATACCTTTGCCCAACCTTTTAAAACAAAATTTGCATGTAGAAACCGATCTCTTTTGTTTTACGAACTGGAAAGTTATTTTCTTCAAAATGTCTTGAACGACCCCTTCCTTTTGTGACTGAAATGTGGGTTTTTTTCCTAGCACAGACATATTTGGCACATGTGAGTGTGTTTTGGCGTGTCTCTTTTTGTAATTTAACAGAAGCAAAATTAAATGGACATGGCAAAGGTCTTTTAAAATTATTTTTATCTCTTTCCAACAAAGTTAATCTGCAAGATCCACAAATAGAGTTTGGGCACTTTTCTTTTTTTACATCAAAATCCTTATTTATCCACACTTTAAGCTTTCTAACTTACTTGTTAAACAGAACTGGCTGACGGGCTTATTTCCAAAAATTATTTTGCTGCCACAACATCCACACACTTTTCTGC